TCCCTTCCTCACTTACCCCTGCCATGAGGAAATGACCATCCTGGCTCGGGCTGGTGTAATTCATGCTTTTGTTTTCTTCTTGGTTTTGAGTCACCAGGACCGACTAGAAAAGACCAGAGGAGAACTTGTGTGTGTATGGGGGGTCTGAATGAGTGTCCCCAGCATTTCCAGGTGATAGGGTATGGAAGGACTTGCACATGGTCGAGGCAGTTCAAGTAAAATAAGAACCTGGCCATCCTCTTTTGGGTCCAGTGATAGTTGATAACACCCTTATTTTTCTCTCCTGGCCTTCATTTTATACCTGTTGCTCCCCTCCCCCAAACAATGTTCCTTCTATTGACATTATTTTAAAGATGCATAACCGAATTTCAATGAACTGTCATCACGCTGTGTTTCCCAGCTTCTGCTCTGAGACTTTTCCTTCTCCAAATGACAGCTTTTATCCACAGCGTTCTGACAGGTCAAGCTTAGCTCTCCCTTTGGAGGTGAAAATGTATTAATTAATTAATTAGAATTATTTCTGGCTGTGACAGAATATGTAAACTGACCCAAGTTTCTTTCTCTTATACACATGTGAGCAGGCAGCTTTTCTGTCTTATTTCTCCCCAGTGCATGAACTGCGTTCTCAAATCGCCTCATGGCCCAAGACAGCTTCCTCTAAGTCCTGGCACCACACCTGTAATCCAAGTACCAGACAAGAGGGTCCAGGGGCCCAAGAGCCCAGAAGTACAGCCTCTGCCCTAAAGACGCTCTGGGGAGGTGCACACACTATGGCCTCTGAATTGTCATTGCTTAGAATCAAGTCACCGAGGGAAGCTGGGCAATCTCTAAGTTATGTGCTCAGGTAATATCCAGGGGATCTATCACAAGAAATGAAGGAAGAAAGAATGAAGCTTGGGAAAAATATCAGTCCCTGCCGAAGGCCCCTTCATAGTTATTCTTACGAATTGAAGACTGTAGCTTCTGTGGTGTCTGTGCAGGTCAGCCCCACTGAGTGGTTTATATATCTCTGGTTTGCCTAATGCCTGTTCCAGAAGTTTGAAGGAGGGAGTTAATAGTCCCATGTGGGGGCTCTGTTCTAATTAATTTGAGGTGAGAAGACAAGATTTGAGGATTGGTGAATACTCTCTGTTCTCTCACATTTTAAAAAGATTTATTTATTTGTTTGAAAGGGAGAGGAAGGGGGAGGGGAGAGGGAGATGGGGAGGGAGAGAATCTTTTATCTGCTGGTTAACTCCCCAAACCGTTTCAATCACTGGGCTGGTCCAGGACCCCAGAACTCCATCTGGGTCTCCCACATGGACTTGGGCCACCATCTGTCGCTTTCCTAGGTGTGTTAGCAGGGAGCTGGATCAGAAGCAGAAAAGCTGGGACTCAAACTAGCACTCCGATATAGGATACCAGACCTGCAGGTGTTGGCTTAATCTGCTGTGCCACATGCCAGCCCCTTTTCCAAATTTTTATTGTCAATTATTCTATTTATTTGATTGATCTATACTGTGGAGTGCCCAGGTTTTACACATTGCTATACTTATCCTTATCACTCAATCCTCACACTAGCCTGGGTTTTAGATATAATTATCTACATCCGCATTTACAGATGCAAAGCCTGTTGCTCAAGAGGCTTTTGTAACTGGCCCAAGATCCGGCTGGGGCAGCCTGGCTTGGTTGCCTTGCCTAGCTCTTCATTTGGGGATCATGGTACATCAGAATTGTCTTTGCTGCTTTTGACTTTTTTTTTAAAAGATTTATTTATTTATTTGAAAGGCACAGTGAGAGAGAGAGAGAGAGAGAGAGAGAAGTCTTTCATCCGCTGTTTTACTCTACAGATGGTTGTAATGGCCAGGGCTGGGCCAGACGGAAACCAGAAGCCACAAGTGCTTCTTTTGGGTCTCCCATGTGGTTGCAGGGGCCCAGACACTTCTGCTGCTTTCCAGGCGCATTAGCTGGGAGCTGCATCAGAAATAGGGCGGCCAGGACTTGAACTGATGCCCATATGGGATGCCGGCACTGTAGGTGGCAGCTTTATCTGCTATGTCACAGCGCCAGCCCCTGTTTCTGATTTTTTTAACCTTATATATTAACTTGAGAATTAGCCGAATTTAAGATTTTATTGCAATTTTTATTGCAATTTATTGAATTTATGCATCAATTTGGAAGGAGATACCATCTTTACTAGGCTGAGTTCTCCCACCTATGAACAAGATGCTATAGTTTGGACATGATTTGGCTTTCCAACTCATGCAAATGTTTAAGTCTTTTTTTTAAAGATTTATTTATTTATTTAAAAAGGCAGAGTTACAGAGAGGCAGAGGCAGAAGTAGTTTACTCCCTAATAGCCGTGATGGCAGGAGCTTGGCATATCCAAAGTCAGGAGCCAGGAGCTTCTTCCAGGCTTCCATGTGGGTGCAGGGGCCCAAGGACTTGGACCATCTTCCACTGCTTTCCCAGGCCACAGCAGGGAAAGCTGGATTGGAAGTGCAGCAGCCAGGACTTGAACTGGCGCCCATATGGGATGCCGGCACTGCAGGCGAAAGCTTTACCTGTTATACCACAAGGCAAATGTTGAAGTCTAAAAGTCATGGACTGATGGTACTAAGGGTGAGTGCTTGATCCGATTATGGTGTTGAAGGCAGGGTCTCTGGGAAGTGGCTGGATGTGGTTGCTAGGGGTGAGTCCCGTGATTGAATTGTGGTGACTTTCTAAGAACCAACCACACGGAGTGTGAGTGTGATGCTTGTCTCTGCTTCCTAGGTCACCATGTGATCCTCCCTCTGCACATGTTGCCTCCACTGCCCTCATCAGAGGCTGGACCCACAGGGCTACCTAAGCTGACTGGGAGCCTCCAAAACCGTGAGCTAAAATAAATCTCCCTTCGTGAAGCAGTGTCTGTCTCTCAAGTATTTTAGTGGTGTAATGACAGGCTCCACGAGGAGAGCTGAGAGGGGTTCTCGGTGGTGGTGGAGGTGTCTAGTTCCCCCTCTGCACACTTCCCACAGGTGTTGGTGTTTTCCTTGCAGAGCCAGTGCTCACAATGGAAGTGTTGCTCACTGCTGCATGCCAGGAAGATCACCAACGGTCACACTGGGCTACTCAGGGCATCTGGCAGGCAGTAGGGGGTCTTTTGTGATTAGGGTGTGGATGCTCCTTTCTCTAGATTGGCTTGGAGTTGGGTGGAATGGCCCTAGAGGCTTCTTATTTCTCTTGTGCTCTTAAGACTTGACCTTGAGTAGAGGTACATGCTGAAGCTCGAGAGTCATCAGTGAAGTGTTGAGTGTGAGGGTGTTCTAGGCAGACACTGGCTTCAAGACTCAGCTGTCTGAAGTGACACTTCTACTTCTATTGTGGTCCTTGAAAGTCTCCCTGATTTTTCTTTCAAAAGTTTATATTCATGAGTCCAAAAGGTACATGATTCACATTTTATCAGGCAGCTTTATATATTTTTCATGGGACAATTTTTAAATTTATTTCACTATTTGTTGGATGACCTATCTTAAATAAGTGATTTACAGTGTTATGTTATCTACTTTTTAATATTTCCAAGCATTCAAAACAAACAAAAAAATCTGGGGCTGGCGTTGTGGTGCACTAGGTTAAGCCAATGCCTGCTAGGCCAGCAGTTCATATCAGAGCACTGGTTCGAGTCCTGCTGCTCTGCTTCAGATCCAGCTCTCTGCTAATGTGCTTGGGAAGGCAGTTGTTCATGGCCCAAGTACTTAGGGCCCTGCCACCCATGTGAGAGATCCAGATGGAGTTCTGGGCTCCTAACTTCATCCTCGCCCAGCTTTGGTTGTTGCGGCCATTTGGGGTGTGAATCAGTGGATAGAAGATTCTCTTTCTCTCTCTTCTCTCTCTCCTTCATACTCTCTCTCTGTCCCTCCCTCTCTCTGTCATTCTGCCTTTCAAATAAATAAAATAAAACTCTTTAAAGAATAAAATAAAAATCTAATTTTTTTCCCAAAGAAACCTTTTATTTAATAAGTACAAATTTCCTAAGTACAACTTTAGGAATACAGTGATTCTTCTCACCATACCCACCCTCCCAATCCCACTTCCACCTCTCCTTCTCCTCCCTCTCCCCCTCCCAGTCCCATTCTCTATTAAGATTCATTTTCAATTAACTTCATACACAGAGGACCAACTCTATACCAAGTAAAGATTTCAACAATTTGCATGCATGCACACACGCGTGCGTACACACACACACAACTGAGAACAAGTTTTACAGTTAACTCTCATAATACAAATCACTGAGGACAGAGGTTCTGCTTGGAAAGTTAGGGCACAGTGACTCCTTTGTTAACTTAACAATTAACGCTCTTATGTATAATGTCAGTGACCACTCAAGGCTTTGACATGAGCTGCCTAGGTTATGGAAACCTTTTGGATCCACAAACTCCTTCAGTATTTAGACAAGGCCATAAGCAAAGTGGAAGTTCTCTCCTCCCTTCAGAGAAAAGTACATCCTTCTTTGATGACCACTTCTTTCCTCTGAGATCTCACTCACAGAGATTTTCACGTAAAACAGTGTCTTGGCTTTCCATATCTGAAATGCTCTCATGGGCTTTTCAGCCAGACCTCTGTCCTCAGTGATTTGTATTATGAGAGTTAACTGTAAAACTTGTTCTCAGTTGTTGTGTGTGTGTGTGTGTACGCACGTGTGCGTGCACACATGCAAATTGTTGAAATCTTTACTTAGTATAGAGTTGGTCCTCTGTCTTAAGGGCTGAGTCTGAGGTCAGAGTGCTACTTAAAGTGAAAAAAAATCTAATTTTTAAGTTGCCAAACATTCACTTTCTTAAATCTGAATGGTAGGGAGCAGGGCACAGAATGTCAGCCTCCTTCATCTTTAAGCACTTATTTGGACCAACCTCAAAGAGGGTTTAGTTCTAAGGTCAGGCGGAGGATTAGCCTAGTGAGCCACAGCGCCGGCCCAACCACTGCTTTTTACCTTGCTTAATTCTCAGCCTTGACTGCCGTGCTTCTCTCTGGCAGGCAAGATGACCCAAAACACAGTGACGGTGAATGGAGTCCACGTGGCCTCTGCATTGTCCCTGCAGACCGACGTCCACATCCGCATCCACCAGGAGTCAGTTTTGACACAACTCCTGAAGCAATTTCCTTCTTGCCCTTGGGACACTGGCCCTTCCAAGGCCAGGATAAACTATGAGCAGCTGGCTGTAGGGGTAAGACTGGGGGGCATAGGTGGTGGGTTAAAGAGGTAACACAAGGATTGCAACTGTGAGTCAAATTCCTATGAGGAGGGACATGAGAACTCACTAGTTATATTGCATTTTGTCTGGGAGAAGGTTTGGGAAGTGTCCTTTTTTGGCTGGGAAAGAATGATCCACTTTTTCTCTGGTGCAGAGGGTCAGTGCCAGCTGGAAGAGGGAAAACAGGTAGAAGATTCTCTGGGGGTTGTTACTTCAAGTTCATTGGACCCATGGGACTGAGGGCTGCAGGTGCAAGGCGACATGCTAGGCACATCACGGAAACTACTGACAGAATCTCTAGGCAACACCTAAAAGTGTGCAGCCTCCACCAAAGGGGATGCTACACAAGTGACTGGAACCAATGGTAGACCGGGTGGTGTAAGAGGCAAGAGGCAGAAACCTGTGTCTGAGTCAAGACCTGTCAAGGTCTCTGCCAGCCCGATGGGGAGCTCCCTAAAAACCCTGTCCGTTACAAGAGTTCCTCATTGGGTGGGAATGGCTCTTGAGCTGTGCCTTGCTTAATCATGGGCTGGGGGCCATCCCCAAAGAGTGTGTTCTCAGCTCAAGAGATGGGGGGGAACTTTGAAGGAACTGACAACTGTAGGCTATCAGCAACCATACCTCTTTTCTTGAGCGGCTTATATAGCGGCATATCTTTGTAATTTATTCATTATTGATTTTCATGTTTTACAGATTTATTTATTTGAAAGTCAGTGTTAGAGAGAAAGAGATAGAGAGAGAGAGAGAGAGAGAGAGGGCTTCCATCAGCTGGTTCACTTCCAGATGGCTTTAACGGCCACAGCTGGGCCAGGCTGAAGTCAGGAGTCAGGAACTTGATCTGGATCTCCCATGTGGGTGGCAAGGACCCAAGCACTTGGGCCTTCTGCTGCTTTTTCTAGGCCATTAGCAGGGAACTGACCAGAAGTGGAGCCTTTGGGACAGAAACTGGTGCCCACATAGGATGCCAGCATTGCAAGCAGTGGATTTACCCACTGTGCCACAATGCTGGCACCCTCTTTATAATTTTTAAAATTAAGAGCTCGGATCAGAAGAAATAGGTTGGTGCCAGAATGTGAGGTCAGGTGGAGGATTTAGATGGGGTGATGAGATTCCCTAGGGAGAGTGAGGAGAAAAAAGTGGAACTCAGTGGGTGGGATTGACAGTGTTGAAGCTGGGAGAAGACAATGAAGGATAACCAGTCAATTTTGTAAGAGACACCAGGAAAGATCCAGGCCAGTGCAGTCACAGAACCATCCAGAACCAGAGTTGCAGAGAGATCAAGGTAGAGAAAAAGGAGAGGAAACCCACCCTGGGAGCATGGTACATGGGAAGGGGGCCTGACTTTTCATCCTGTCTTATAGGTGACCCAGCTATTGCTGGGGGTTGTGAGCTGTGCTCTTGGAGTATGTCTCTACTTTGGGCCCTGGACTGAGCTTTGTGGCTCTGGATGTGCCTTCTGGGTAGGATCTGTGGTGAGTAAGGACAAGGCCAGAGCTCAGTGGGAGGCAAGCAGTGATGGACAAGGAAAAAGTTCCTTTGGATCTAGACTGGAGATTTGGGAATGCTTCCAATGACCCAAAGTCTAAATGCCTTTTGCCATGAGGGAGTTGCCGTAGGGGCTAGGTAAACCTTCTCATTTCCATGTTAGCAAGGGTAGAGCAGCAGCTGTAGCTGGAGTCTCGCCTGTATGTTAGGTTTCCTTGCTTGTCTTTTGGATTTTCATTCTATTTGGCAGTTCTGGGAACTACTGGAGGTAGGATGATGAGAGATCAGGGGAGTAAACTGGAGGTCTTTCTCTAATGTCTTCTCTTCCCAGGCTGCTGCAGCAGGAGCTGGAGCCACTGCCCACGAGAAGTATCAGGGCAGACGTTCAGTGAGTCTTGGGCATTCTTTCTCCTCCACATTGTCTATCTACTCCCTCTTGAGTCTAGTTTTCAATTTTCTATCTTCTACCTTTTGGTTCCCAATATCCTGATGTGTTTCCTGGAGGGGAGGGGAGGGTTTCCTGGGACAGGAGCTGGGAAAGGTTTGAGGCTGGCACTTCTATGGCTGTACCATGGGGCCTGCATCTTGAACTTCTCTCTTCTAGGGCTCTGTCTTTGGGCTGTTCACCCTGGCTGGCATTGCTACAGCTACAGCTGCTGTTGTCCTCTGTGTGAACAGCTTGATTCAGCAAAATGATCGCTTCTACATGGAGATCCAGTCTGTGTGTGATCACCCACATCCTGTCACCACAACCATTGGGTATCCATGGGTCCCGGGAAGACGTTACCAGACTTACGATGTCATAGACTGGAGGAAGAATGAGTGCAGATCATCTATGCAAATGTGATGGTGAGGATCAGAGTCTGGGCTTCCAGGGACCAGTCACAATCCACTGCTCTCAAGAAATTAGGCACTGAAGGGCGGAGCTGTAGGTTCCTTGAGCTTTGGTGGTGGAGTTTTTAACTTAAGCTGGAGACATTTCTTAGACCCTCATGAAGATTCACTGAAAAAAAAAGGGGATGAAGATCAGAGACTAGACATGGAATGGAGGAGAGTATCAGGCACCCTTATGTTTGTTTGGGTGTGTGGCTGTCCTGGCTATCTATTGCCACATAACAGGGCACACCTAAACATAGTGGCTTAAAAATACAATTGATTGTTTCCACAGTTCTCTGGGTTGGCTCAGCTCAAATGGGCAGTTCTTCTTCTTCTTTTTTTTTTTTTTTTTCAGATTTGTTTATTTATTTGAAAGGGAGAGAGAGAGAGAGAGAGAGATCTTCCATTCGTTGGTTCACACCCTAGATGGTCAGGGTTGGGCAAGACTGAAGCCAAGAGCCATGAACTTCATCCAGGTCTCCCATATGGGTGCACCCATTTTCTGCTGCTTTCCCAGGTATAATAGCAGGGAGCTATATTGGAAGTGTAGCAGCCAGGACATGACTGGGTGCCCCTATGAGATGCTGGCATCACAGGTGGCAGCTTAACTCACTATGCCACAGTGGTGGCCCTGGCAGTTCTCAACTTGATTTTTCTCATGCAGTTGTGATCAGATGTCAGGTGGAGGTGGTCATCCCAGGGCTCCGTTAGGTTGGATGTCCAAGACGGCACACTCACATGACTGGCAATTGATCCTGACTCTTGGCTGGGAGCTCAGCTGGGCTGTCAATCAGGCAGCTACAATAGCTCCTCTATGTGGCTTGAGTGTCCCTTAGCCCAGAAACCAGGTTCTGGTGGGGAATATTATGTGTTTTGAGAGTTGGGAAATTAAAGCTGCCAGCCAGTTAAGGGGTCCCATGGCCACTGGCATTGTGTTATCTCTATGCTATTTGGCTGAAACAATAATGCACTCTTCCAGATTCTAGGGGGTGGAAAAATAGACTCCGTTTCTCATTAGGGAGTGGCAAGGTCACACTGCAGATCAGCAGGTGGCATGGAAGCTGTGGCTGCTCCATCCTTGGAAAATACCATCTGCTTAGAGGGGAAGCCACCTTGTGGGACAGACTGTGATGAAGTGGTTTGAACAGAATTAGAGGAGGTGACTCTTGGTTCTCTCTGCCTTTTTCCATTATCGTCAGGATTTGTTCCTAGGATTCTGTGCCCTGCTCCTGGCTGTCTGTATCCTGGAGGTCCTTGTGTCCTTGGTTTCCCTGCGAATGAGTCTTCAAAGCTTGTACAGCCAGAGCTTCCAACCTTTGGTGAGTTGTCAGGGAGGGGCTGCTGGCCAGTGTGTGTGTGTGTGGGGGGCTTTGAGAACAGTGAGGTGCATCAGGGCCAGGAGCCCCCTTATCTGAGGCCATGCCCATCTTTCAGTTTTCCTCCTCTCTTGACCCTTCCTTTCGCTGTCTGGAGAATGTGAACCCATTACTGTGTCCTGTGCTAACTTCTGTCTGCCCTGTGCGTCTCCACAGCTTCCCCCCTCTCTCTTGGGTTGTATCTGGGTATTTGTCAGATTCCCTTTCCTCTGCCACCTGGTCTTTCCTGCTCGATCCCAGCTTCCCGTTGCTGCTTTCTTTCCCTCCTTTTTTTCTCTTTCTTGTTTTCAAATTCTGTAACGTAACTCTGCCCCCATGTTTTCTCTCTCAGTGTTTGATTTTTTCCCCCATTTCTCTCTCTTTTTAGGATAAAGAAGGGTCTGAGAAGAAGCTACTGGGGGAGAATTTAGTGCCTCCCTCCCCATTCAAAGAGAAGACCCTGGCTATCATTATCCTGTGAGCTGCCAAAGGCCTTGCTTGAAGTTCATCGTGTCGTGTCCTGAGCAGCCCAGTGCCCAAGGGGAGGACAGAACACTCTCCCCAGAGCCCTCAGACTTGCTTCTCCCTTGTCCAACCCCTCTGTTTCCTTCTCTTCCCACTATCCTCACCTACCATGCCCAACCCACTGTCCTCAGCTCAATGGACAGGCATTTTGTACTGTTCCTCGTACTTACTAAAAATAGAAACAACCAGGAAAACAATTTGCACAGAAAAGACATGGCCGCCTTTGGTTTAAGCACTCGTGTTCTGGGAAAGGCCTTCCTTTGTACTGATATGAGAGTCAGTATTTATCACATGGAAAAATATCCTGGTACAATGAAATTTAAAGTATCCTGTCCAATATCCCCAGGGCAAAACTCCTTTTTATGATTTCCCTCTAGGTAAAATGAAAGTAACTTTCACGTGCTTAGAATATTGTGCCTTCTAAGATTCCCTTCTCATCAAAGTCCCTCTTACTGAGCAATGGACTTACTATGCTATGGACCTATTTTTTTTTTCATGATTTATTTATTTATTTGAAGGAGTTACAGAGAGAGAGAGGGAGGGAGGGAGAGAGAGAGAGACAGTGAGAGAGAGAGAGAGAGACAGAGAGAGAGAGACAGAGATCTTCCATTCACTGGTTCACTTCTCAAATGGCCACAATGGCTGGAATCATCTTCTTTTTTTCTTTTTCTTTTTTTTTTAAATTTATTTGACAGGTAGAGTTATAAACAGTGAGAGAGAGAGATAGAGAAAGGTCTTTCTTTCGTTGGTTCACTCCCCAAATGGCCGCTACGGCCGGTGCTGTGCCAGTCCGAAGCCAGAAGCCAGGTGCTTTCTCCTGGTCTCCCATGCGGTGCAGGGGCCCAAGCACTTGGGCCATCCTCCACTGCCCCCCCGGGCCACAGCAGAGAGCTGGACTAGAACCAGACATCCATATGGGATGCTGGTGCCGCAGGCGGAAGATTAACCAAGTGAGGCATGGTGCCGGCCCCTGGGACTGTCTTCTCAGGTGCATTAGCAGGGAGCTGGATTGGAAGTGGAGCAGCCGGGACTCGAACCGGGGCTCATATGGGATGCTGGTGTTGCAGGCAGTGGCTTAACTTGCTGGGCCATTTCACTGGTCCCATGGCTTTTGAGAAAAGACTTTATTACAAAGTTGATTGGTAAGCAGACAGGAGACAATGGCCAAGGCTGTCTCCATGGTCTGGGACTTCGGGTGTGTTTTGTGGGTTAGGGAGAACAAGCTGTATGTGGAAGCCCTCACAGGCAAGTTCTGATTTGAGGGTAGTTTTAGAGCCAGATCTTCCTCATCGCTGAACCCCTCACTTCTGAAAGGGTTCCAGCATTCAGGCTCTGGGCATGCTCTGGTCTCCTTGGCTTCTCAGGGAGGAGGAATTGTTGTTCCAGGTTAAAGGCTTCGTTCTGTGTATGTCGAAGTCCTGTTGGCAAGAGGACAAGCACCTGTGTTAGGATCTTTGGCAACAGTGAAACATGCCTTGGGAACTTGCCCTCCCTCCCCAGGTGTGTCCAATCCAATAGGAGGATAATGAATGGTGGGGTTCTCTGGGGTGCTCTAGACCCAGGTGGAACTGGACAGAAACAGTCTGTCTCGAACCATGTAGTCCTCAGGATCTTATGCCGTGTTCTAGCCTGGGAAGCCTCTAACTGGAGCACATTCCAGACTTTTACCTCTAACCCACTCTCCTGGTGCCAACTTACCCCATGCATACTCGCTTGAATCCAGAGCACCTCGAGGGCTCACTCTAAGCTGGTCTTCATTGGCTGGGAGAGCCCCACTTGTAACTGATAGAGCAGGACCCCTTTGAGCTGGGTCTTTGATTCCAGTCTCTGTTTCCTGTTGAGAAGCTCCTGTGCATCCCTAGGCTCCCCTCAAAGGGTGCCTCTGCTGGCTTGGGGGCCACACCTGCCTTTGCCACCACTAAGAGTTGTAACCTCCAGGACTGGTGTCATTGGGTGTCCCAAACAGCTGTCTGCTCTCAGAATGCTGTCACATCATTACCTGATCCCATTGCCATGTCCTCCTCTTCTCCCTCTGAACTCCATGGTCTCCAGGAATTCTCCCACCCTCCAAATACTGCTGTAGGAGGCTCCCCCGACCTCTCATCCTCACAGGCTGGTGCTGTGTGATCTTTTCTAGTACAGTCTCTTTAATCACAGGCAGTTCTAGCACAATCTCTTCTAGTATAAATTCTAGTAAATCTCAGGCACTTCTAGGAAAATCTCTTAGCAGATTCTAACAAGGTAAGAGGAGCAGCTTTCAGCTTTAGATTTTAGCCAAAATTGTCAGAAGCCAAGACATGCTTCGGAGATACCTTTCCATCAAGGGTCCAGCTATGTGGCCAGAAAGAGGGGACAGAAATACTTGGAAAGCAGGAACCAATTACATCTCAGTTTATCCTAGCACACTGATCTTGGGGTGCAGAGGTTCCCATTCTTCTGAGTGTCTTTCTCTGGGAGCAGAACCTGTGTCTGTGTTCCAAGGCTCTCTCCTTTTTGTTTCCAAGTAGGGTAGATGATTGGTATTTTTACTGGGGCTTTGTGGGAACCGCTCTATCTCAGACCGGGCATAACTGTTCTCTGGGGTGTGTCTCTGGAGCGGAGGAGGTGAAGGAGGGAGAAATTGTGGTCAGGGAGGGCAAAGACATGGTAGAAAGCACACTCTGCCTTCTGTAATCATGAAGGCTTTGGGACAGAGGACAGGACTCTCTGTGTAGATTGTACCCATCCCAGGCTGACACAGTGTTGACCTGCTGGCATAGCAGAGTGGGTGGAATGGTGCACACTTGACCTGGGCCTCTTGGCTCATAATCCTCTTCTTCTCCATGGGTTGGTGGAAGGCTGGGCTACATTTGTCTCATGCCCAGCCTTATAGGAGGTATTAATAAATATTTGTTCAATCAACAAATGAGGGACAGGCATAAAGGCTAGTGGCTAAGAGGCAGGTCAAGACAACTGTATCTCATTTCAGAGAACCTGGATTCAGAGATATTTAGTTCTGGGTCCTGACTCCAGCTTCCTGCTAATGTAGATCCTGGGAGGTAGATAGTTCAGGTGATTGGGTTCCTGCCCCACCCATATGAAAGACCTGGGTAGAGTTCTGGCCTTGTTCTGGTCCATTCCTAACTGTTGCAGGCATTTGGTGAGTGAACCAGCAGATGGGAGCTCTCTCTACCTCTCTGTCTCTTTCTCTTTGTCTATGTCTGCCTCTCAAATCCATAAAAAAATCAAAAAGTGAATTTCTTTTGGAGACTAAGGAATAAACTAATTTAGGTTTCATTTCTGTATTTTGTAGAAGAAAACTTTTTACAGTCAATAGATGGCTAAATTCTTGTTGCCCAAAGTATGAGTCATTGGTCTGCAGCATGGGTAACACTGGGAGCCGGAATGTCTCTCTGCCCCAGGTCTGATGAATCAGCTTGCATTGCACAAGATCCCAGGTGCTTCGTGCACTCAGTAAGTGTTGGGAAGCTCTGGTACAGATAGCAAATCTAGGTGGCTTCCCTGGGAGAATTCAGATTAATTTAATTTCTCTTTATGAACTTGTCAACCTTGGAATTTTAAAAAGGAATTTTAATATAAAGAAATAAGACAGGCTGAGCCAAAGACTCCAGTCAAAAGGGACATCCTCGCTTTCTGCCTTATATTCAGATGTTAGTAACTTCTTTCTAAAAAATTAATTTATTTTCATTTTTTATTTGAAAAGCAAGAGTTGGGTTGGGGGAGAAAAAAGGAGGGGGGGGGAGAGAGAGAAAGATCTTCCATTCATTGATTTATTCCCCAAATGCCTGCAACAGCTGAAGCCAGGAGCCAGGAACTCCATCTGGGTCTTCACATGTGTGGCAGGGACTTAAGTATTTGAGCCATCACCTGCTGCCCCCCAGGTGCACTTCAGCCGGCAGCTGGGTCGGAAGTGGAGGCGCAGGACTCAAAACTGTCCCTCCAGTTTGAGATGCAGGGATGCTGAATGACATTTAACCCTTGGGGCAAACGCCTGCCCTGGTAGTAACTTCTGTGTGTCAGTCATTTCACGGCCAGATTGGATAGAATTCTCCATTTTCACTCTGCTAAATGAAGGTCAAATTGGTTTTCTTTGGTGATCGTCACATGAACTGGTCTCTGTCAGTCTGTCCACTTCCGTTTTCATTTCCCCTGAAATTTCCCGACTTCCTGTGTTAAGGTGGTCTGCCTTCTCTGTGACCTTTCTTCCCTTCTGATTTCCCTCTGCCCTGCCCTGCATCCCTGTGAACGGTATTAGAAGTTTCTGAATCTTCTCCCTTTCTGCAGAAAACCAGCTGTCACAGCCCACCCCCACTTTTGTTTAGTTGGAAGAGCCAATGGCTATTTATTTGCACAACCCAGGCTTAGTGGTGAAGCTGCACATATACAAGGAAGCGACTTCAGGGCCCAGACAGGGAGGCATGCAAACAACCTCAAGCCTATTTATGTGCAGCACATTCATTGAAGGATTTAAAGCCATTCAGAGTATAAACAGGACATGACTCTCTCATCAAACTCAATGCTCTTAGCTGATTTTCAGCTCGCCCTTTCTTCGTTAGATCTTGAGTCCTTTAATATCAGGATAAGATTCCAGGTTCTACAACTTGGTCGTTAAAATTGTCTTCCATTCGGTGTTCTAGGCCCGTCGGATTCACAAATGGCGATCATCAGAGCTTGGTCCTGCTCCCAGAGTACAGCCAGACTACTTGGACTGGGAGTGACTGGGGAAGGAACACGTGGTCTGGAGTTGAGACTCCTCCACTGCCTTATATTCTTCTCTCTGTATTCTTTCTTCTCCATTCCCAGTGGGATAGGAATGAGGGACAGGCAGGGTTTCCTTCAGCAGCTGGCTGCAGGAGGGCACAGAGGGAACAGCTGTCTCTGCTTTCTAGGCTCAGCTGAGATCCAGCTGATGTGTGACCTTTGTTTTGCTTACATGATGTGGGTGGTGGGAGTATCTATTCTTCTTAAAGATATTTTATTTATTTGAGAGGAAGAGACATAGAACGAATCCCATCTGCTTGAGCACTGCCCAAATGACCACAATAACCTAGCCAAAGTTGGATCAGGTTAAAGCCATGGCCCGGGAACTCAATCCAGGTGTCTCCTGTGGGTGAAAGAAACTCAGCTACTTGAGCCATTATCACTGTTGTCTCCCAAGGCCTGCATTGTTGGGAAGCTGAAGTCAGGAGCCAGTACCAGGAATGGAACGCAGACACACCAATGAGGGTTGTAGGCATCTTAGCAGCTAAGCCAAATGCCCACTCCCTCTGAGTCTGTTGTTTAATCTTGAAGGCAACTAGGAAGTTCTCTGCCCTCTGCTACGTTAGCTACCTGGATCAGTCAAGAAATCTGCCAGGAAAAGGAGAGAAACATGAGACACAAGAAAAGAGAAGGCTTTCCTACAGTTTGGATATATATAAACATATATAATTATATATATAATTTATATGTATAAATTATATATTATAAATTTATTTACAATAATATAATATATACAAATATATATATATTTACTTTCTCTCACCCCTGCAAGGTGCCAGAATGTCTTTTGTTGCTGTTGTTAGAACAACTGAGCAAAATAACATTCCGATTCATTGTTGGACACCATTATTTCACATGTACATGAAACAGGGCAAATAAATAAATGGCAACTTTATAGACAAAAAGACCTTTGGCCTTTTTAACCATCTCATACAAGCCAGCTACTTAGAGTACAGCTCAGTACATAAACAAAAGTTACTGGAATGCTCAGAATAAGACTGTGTTTTGCCTTTTTTGTTCTCCCAAGGTTTTTTCCTCCTTTGAGATTGTAATGAACATGATCACACCACAAATAAGATCAGAAGTGGCAGAAGCAGGGTCGAAAACATTTTTTTTTTAAAGATTTATTTATTTATTTGAAAGGTAGAGTTACAGAGAGGCAGAGGCAGAGAGAGAGAGGTCTTCCATCTGCTGGTTCACTCCCCAAATGGCCACAACAGCCAGAGCTGTGCGGATCTGAAGCCAGGAGCCAGGAGCTTCTTTCAGGTCTCCCACATGGGTGCAGGGGCCCAAGGACTTGGACCATCTTCTGCTTTCCCAGGCCATAGCAGAGAGCTGGATTGGAAGTGGAGCAGCTGGGACCCATATGGGATGCCGGCACTGCAGGAAGCGGCTATACCAGAGCACTGATCCCGGCAGAAAACGCTCTGAAGGCTGATTCCTGGCATCCCGAGATCACTAAAAATGGTTGACCCCTAACAATTCGTGGAAGTTCTGGTTCTTTTTTCCTCCCCGGTTGCCCGTCGCGTTGAGGTTCTGTTTGGGGGTGGAGAGCGCGGGCGTCGGCAGGTGGCGCTGCCGAGGCGGCCGGCGGCCTCCGGGCGCCAAGGTCGCGGCCCTCAGAACGCGAGCGGAGGAGAGGGCGGAGAGGCGCGGCGGCCTCTTTGTTCGCTTTTCCTGTTTGCAGCCCAGCGGCCCTCATAGCTTTCTGCTGGTGGGGTCTGGTCAGCTGCCCGTTGCCCGAAGCTTGCCGCAGCCTCCTCATCTCCATCTCCTCCCCACCTCCTCACGGTCCGCCTACGGCTCGCCATTTTCCTCAGGAGCGCGGCGTCCGCAGGGTCCGCAGGGTGGCGATCGCCCCCGGCGTCCGCGGCCACCTCGGACGCGGTGCGGCCCGCGCGGGGTCGGAGGCGGCGGATTTCTAAGCACCGTGCGGGGGTCCGCGGCGGGGCGTGCGTGGGCGGCTTGCCCGGGCAGCCCGTGGGGTCAGCGTGAGTCTTCACAGCCCCCGGGGACAACCTGGCGCCGCCGACCCGCGGACGTGCTCGCGCGCGAAGCTGCCATTGAGTTTGAGGAAAGCCGTCCGCTGCTCAAGGCCGAGCGCTTCTCAAGTGGGAAGAAGCTATTCTGAGGGAAAGTTTGAGTTTGCGGGAAAAAGGAGCTGCAGGGTAACACGCCTTCCCGCGACGGGCTTGCGGCCGCCTTGACCGCGACCCCCGGGCGTCCACCAGGCGCTGGGCGTGCTCGGGCCGGGGCTCTGCACTCGCGCTGCCGCGTCCTCTCACGGTTAATTTATTCCTCCCTCTCCTCCTTCCCCTCCCCCTCATTCAGGAGGATTTCTGTTATTTTTATTTATTTTTTCATGATTTCCCTTAAAGCCTTTATTTAAAAACACACGTGCATTTAATTAAACAGATTCCGTAGGTAATTAATATCTTCTTTACCTAAAAAACACAATAATGTTATAATGTTCCTTGTTATATAACTTTTTGGTCTTGAAGTTTAGTTCTATTTTGATCAATTTTAATCCCATAAGTTAGATTAATTAACGTTCGTTGAGATTTACCTATGCTTGTATTAAGACAAAAATGTTCTTTTTGTAGTTTAAACCTTCTTTTTGATAAGATTTTTTTTTTTTTTTTTTGCTTAAGGTGCATCTTTCATAGATTTCTTTCTAAAGTCTTGGAGCAGGGGTTCCGCCAGCGCCTCGGCTGCCGCTGGGAACAGCCCGACTCTTATTGCGGTGCTGGTGCTGGGAATTCGGTCCCTTCTCTGCTTCCTGCTAATGTGCACCCAGGAAGGCAGCTCATGATGGCACAGGTGCTGGGTGAGGGTCGGGGGAGCCCTTGTTGCAATTCCTGGCTCCTGGCTGCTCTGGGGGCATTTGGGGAGTGAACCAGTGGATAGAAGAACTCTGTCTTGCTGTGGTTTTCAAAATGAAACAAGTAGAGAAAGTTAAGTCTTTGAATGGTAAACCTGTTTTTTAAATTAGTATATTATTTATTGTATCTGGCTCAAGATATTTTCATTGAATAGACAATTTTAGTTTGACAGTGTTTTCTGTGAATACGGCTATTAGCTGCCTTCTGACTTCTTTTACAGAAAATCTATCTTCGCTGGTTGCTTTTGGGATCATTTCCCTGTCTGGTGTTTTGAAGATTTACTTCAAAATGTGTAGGTGTGTTTAGATTTATTTTCTTTTGAAAATTCTTGCTGAGAAATAATGTTACAGAATTCTTAGTCTCAGAATTCATACTTTTTCTTTTCCATTCTGTCAGATTCTTGAAATTACCCCTTTGAATAAGTCCATTCCTGCATCCAGTCTAATATCTCATCTTGAAATTCAGATTAGGCACCTTAGCCCCTCTCACTCTAGCTTCCTATTTCTTAACTTTATTTATATTTTTATTTTTTTAAAAATTTATTTACTTACTTGAAAGGCAGAGTTACAGAGAGGTAGAGGTAGAGACAGAGATAGGTTTTCCATCTGCTGGTTCACTGGTTTGGTTTACAGTTTTGGAGGTTCACAGTACAAGTTTAGGCAGCCCCCTTGGCTTGGGCAGCTAGTGTGGCTGGAAAGTGACCATGGCAGAGTGCATCCAGAGGGAGGATCTCACCACGAGGCAAGAAGTGGAAGGAGATAGGATGCACACCCGGGGGACACACACAACCAACCCTTTCTCAACAAGTAATTTCTGAGGGCAGGCCCCGAGTGACCTAAAGACTTCCCAGTAGGTCCACCTTCCAGATACCGTAAGTAGATTCTCTCCACCCCAACCCATCAGCCATTAACAATAATCCCTTAACTGTTGACCCAGGACTTTGGGTTTAAACATCTGCATGAGTTTGGGAGGTAAATCTTGTTCAAGCAAGATTTTGTTCAGCAAAATCTTGTTCACAGATTAACTGTACTCATTAAACATCAAATTCTCATTTTCCCTCTTTCCAGCCCTTGGATAGTCATTTTTTAATGTTTTGCTCTTGAATTTAACTACTGTAGGTAGCTTAGATAAGTGGAATTATATAATATTTAATCCTTATATAATAATAATAATCCTTATATAATATTTATCCTTTTAATATTTCACTTTGATTAATATCTTCAAGGTTTATCCATGTTGTAGAATTTCTTTTTTCTTTCTTTCTTTTTTTTTAATTTCTTTTTAAGTCTGAATAATATTCCATTATATATACATACCACATTTTATTTATCCATTCTTCTGTTAATGGACAATTGGGTTGTTTCTCCCTTTGGCTATTATTTATAATAGCCCAATTTATAATATTATAATAATTATAAATAATTTATTATAATAATATAAAATTATAATAGTCAATATTGTGAACTACTGGTATAAAAATATCTGTTTGGCTCCCTGCTCTCAATTCTTTTGTGTACATGCTCAGAAGTAGAATTGCTGGACCATATGGTGGTTCCATGTCTCATTGAGGACATCCTAAAATATGTACTATTGTTAGTTCATTCTGTGCTGCTAAAACAGAATAACACAGACTGGTGACTTCATAATGAACAAAAGCATATATAGTCCGGATGTATCTTAGCAGCTGTGTCATTTTATGTCACCTGCCCCCACAAGGCACAAGTGTTCAAATAACTCTGCATCCTGGCCATTATTTTCTGATTTTGCTTTTTTTGTTTATGTCTTTTTTTTTTTTTTAGATTTATTTATTTGAGAGGTAGAGTTATGGACAGAGAAAGGGGGAGACAGAGAGAGAGAGAGAGGCCTTCCATCTGCTGGTTCACTCCCCAAATGGCCACAACAGCCAGAGCTTGGCCTATCTGAAGCCAGGAGCCAGGAGCTTCTTCCAGGTCCCTTACATGGGTGTAGGGGCCCAAGCACTTGGGCCATTCTCCATGCCTTCCCAAGCCATAAACAGAGAGCTGGATCAGAAGAGGAGCAACCAGGATATGAACCATTGCCAATCTGGGATGCCAGTGTCGCAGGCGGAGGCTTAGCCCACTTCACCATGGTGCTGGCACTTGTGTCTTTGTTCTTAACAGTCAGCCTAATGTGTGTGAAGTGGTATCTCTATAGTTTTGATTTGTATTTCTCTAGATAAATAATGTTGGGCAACTCTCATATGCTTGTTAGCAATCTGTATATCTTTTTTTTTTTTTTTTTGGACAGGCAGAGTGGACAGTGAGAGAGAGAGACAGAGAGAAAGGTCTTCCTTTGCCGTTGGTTCACCCTGCAATGGCCGCCGCGGCCGGCGCGCTGCGGCCGGCGCACCGCGCTGATCTGATGGCAGGAGCCAGGAGCCAGGTGCTTTTCCTGGTCTCCCATGGGGTGCAGGGCCCAAGCACCTGGGCCGTCCTCCACTGCACTCCCTGGCCACAGCAGAGAGCTGGCCTGGAAGAGGGGCAACCGGGACAGAATCCGGCGCCCTAACCGGGACTAGAATCCGGTGTGCCGGCGCCGCTAGGCGGAGGATTAGCCTAGTGAGCCGCGGCGCCGGCCTCTGTATATCTTTTTTGGGAAATGTTTATCCAAGTCCTTTGACTATTTTAAAATTTTTGTTGTTGAATTATAAGATCTATGTATACACACACACATACACACACACACACGGTTTGCAGATATTTTCTCTGATTCTGTGGACTGACTTTTCACTCTAACATAGTCTTTTGATGCTTAAGACTTTAACATTTTGAAAAAATTCAATTTATCTATTTTTTTCCATTGGTTATCCGCACTTTTGGTTTCATAACTCTTCCCCCCAGGTCATTGCTAAATACAGTATTATCCAGGTTTTGTCCTATATTCTCTCTTTTCTTTTTAACTTGTAATGCACAAGTGCTCACAATGCCTGCGGCTGGGCCCATCCGGAGCTGGGAGCAGGGAACTCAGTGCCTGTCTCCTACATGGGTGGCAGGGACCCAAGTACTTGAGGCATCACCTGCTGCTTCTCAGGGTATACAGTTTGGAAAAGACCTGGGACTGGAACTCAGATATTTCAATATGGAATGTGGTGTCGCAGTCGGTATCTTAACTGCCAGGCCAAATGCTTGCCCAGTGCCCTATATTTTCCTCAGAGTGTCTGTGTTTTTTAAATGTTTTGTGACAAGTGACTCAAAAGTTTAAACTGTGTACATAGTATAGCACACCTGTATGGTTATAGACAAGAGGTTACTTTGCTTGATTGTTTAAAAACAAGGCCTGTTCTTCATAAAAATATATGTTAGTTTGTAACTGGCCCATTTCTAGCTTCTGTGCTTCTGCTTGCTTGATAACGGCCAAGGCCACCAGATTCTCCTGTCTACTCCTGGCTGCAGCCACAGGATAACCCAGGTGGCACCAAGGTCAGTGACGCCATGCTCGACCCCAACGGGAATAACTGAATTGTTACATTTTTCAATAAGGTTACACAGAAAAACTGGCTGATTGGCTAACTGCTTCTTGCTTCTGTATGCCTGCTTTCTGCTTGTGTAAGCCCACACACATAATAAAATGTCTGATGAAAAGTAGGTTTTGCCTTTAAAAAGCCCCCACCACTGCAATTGGGGGCTGAATTCTCCAGACTTGCTCTGTGAGAGCGCAGTCGCCAGCTGGCTAATGAAAACTCCTAATATGGCCTCAAAAGTCTCACTGTGTTTTTAATCTGTGCATCCCACAACAGTTGGTTAAAAATGTAGTTGAAAGACAGAGACAAGACACAGTTGCACAAAGATATCTTCCAACTGCTGGATCATTCCTTAAATGCCCACAACAGCCAGGGTTGAGCTGGGCCAGGCTGAAACCAGGAGCCTGGAACTCAATCCCCATTTCCCACATGGGTGGCAGAGACCCAAGTACTTGATCCATCACCTGCTACTTCTTAGGGTGCACATTAGTAGGAATCTGGATCGGGTGCAACATTGGGACTCAAACTGAGGCACTGAAAATATGGGATGCAGGTATTCCTAGTGGTGTCAACTGTGGCGCCAAAAGCCTGTGCTTCTCCAAGAGTTTTATAGTTTTAGCTCCTCTGTTTAGGCCTTTCATTCATTTTGAGTTAAGACTATATACGATGTTGGGAAAGGCTCCACGTTCGTTTTTTCTCGCATGGGAATATCCAGCTTTCCCAGCATCACTTGTTGAGAAGACTGTCCTTTCCCAATGGAGTTATCTTGGTACCCCGTCAAGGTCATTGGTTCACATGTCTAAGGGTTTGATTCCGTGCTCCCTATTCTGTCCCCTTGAACATCATGCAAGTCTTTATGTCAGTATAATACTCTTGATTATTGCAGCTTTGTAGTAAGTTTTGACATTAGGATGTGTGCATCCTTTATTCTTTTTCAGGATTGTTGTATTTATTTGAAGTCTCTTGATACTTAACTTTTATTGCCTCTCAAACTCACACTGAAATCCATTTACCATTGTAACAGTATTAAGAGGTGGGAGTGTTAAGTGGTTATTAGGCCATGGGGGCTCTGTCCTCATGAATACCTTAAGGCCAGGATTGCAGGAGTGAGTTCCTTACAAGAGGAGTTTGGCCTCCTTGTGCCTCTTCTCTCCTCTCCCGCCCACCCCCTCTCTCCCTTTCTTCCCTCTTTGCCCATCTGCCATGGGGTGAAGCAGCAGGAAGTCCCTTGCCAGAGGCCACCTCCTCAATCTTGGACTTCCTAACCTCCAGAGTCACTAGTCAGTAAATTCCTGTTCATTGTAAATTAACCAGCCTGCAGTATTCTGTTGTAGCAGTGCAAAATGAACTAACCATGTTCCATATATTCTGTGTATATTTTTGGATAGATTTTTCCATTTCTGCAAAAAGGATTATTGGGATTTTGATAACGATTGCATTGAATCTTTTTTTTAAAGGTAGAGTTATAGGCAGTGAGAGAGAGAGACAAAGAGAAAGGCCTTTCTTCCGTTGGTTCACCCCCCCAAATGGCCCCCACGGCCGGAGCTGCGCCTATCTGAAACCAGGAGCCAGGAGCTTCTTTCTGGTCTCCTATGCTGGTGCAGGAGCCCATAGGCAGTGGCTTTTCCTGCTATGCCACAGTGCTGGCTTCACTTTATTTATTTTTTTATTAAAACAATTTTTTTATTTGACAGAGTTAGACAGTGAGAGAGAGACAGAGAGAAAGGTCTTCCTTTCATTGGTTCACTCCCCAGATGCTATGTCTGGTGCTGTGCCGATCTGAAGCCAGGAGCCAGGTGCTTCCTCCTGGTCTCCCATGCAGGTGCAGGGCCCAAGCACTTGGGCCATCCTCCACTGCCTTCCCAGGCCACAGCAGAGAGCTGGACTGGAAGAGGAGCAACCGGGATAGAATCCGGCGCCCTGACCGGGACTAGAACCTGGGGTGCCGGCGCCACAGGCGGAGGATTAGCCTAGTGAGCCATGGCACTGGCTTGGGCATAAGAAAATTTTTTTTTTTGACAGAGTGGACAGTGAGAGAGAAAGGTCTTCCTTTGCTGGTGGTTCACCCTCCAATGGCCACCGTGGCTGATCCGAAGCCAGGAGCCAGGTGCTTCTCCTGGTCTCCCATGGGGTGCAGGGCCCAAGCACTTGGGCCATCCTCCACTGCACTCCCGGCCCATAGCAGAGAGCTGGCCTGGAAGAGGAGCAACTGGGACAGAATCTGGCGCCCCGACCGGGACTAGAACCTGGCGTGCCAACGCCGCAAGGCAGAGGATTAGCCTATTGAGCCACGGTGCCGACTAAGGGCATAAAAAAATTTGACAGTCTTAGTAAAGATTGAGTTGAGATGTTGAGAAGGCAATTGAATATACTTGCTTGGACTCTGGCCTCAGAATCAGCCCTTAATGCCCTTAATTAGCGTTTAATGGCTAAAAAGCCCATGAGAGCATTTCAGGCATGGGAAGCCAAGACACTGTGGTAAAAAATGACCTAAATGAAAGATCTCTGTGAGTGAGATCCTGGGGAAAGGAGGGACAATCAAAGAAGGAGAACCTTTCTCTGAAGGGAGGAGAGAACTTCAACTTTTATAATGGCCTTGTCTAAATAAGGTTGGAGTTTGTGGACTCAGGAGGCTTCCGTAGCCTTGGCAGCTCATGACAAGAGCCTCGGATGATCACTGAATAAATAAATAAGAGTGTCAACTGTTAAATCAACAACAGGAGTCACTGTGCACTTGCTCCCCATATGTAGGATCTCTGTCTTTAATGTGTTGTACTATGTGAATTAATGGTAAAACTTGTCTTCAAACAGTACTTTATACTTTGTGTGTCTGTGTGGGTGCAAATGTTGACATCTTTACTTAGTATAGAGTTGATCTTCTGTATATAAAGATAATTGAAAATGAATCTTAATGAAGAATGGGATGGGAGAGGGAGTAGGAAATGGGATGGTTTTGGGGTGGGAGAGTGGTTATGGGGGGAAGAACCGGTATAATCCAAAAGTTGTATTTATGAAATTTATATTTAGTAAATAAAAGCTTTTTATTTATATATACATATATAAATAATATACTAGCTTGGAATTTAGGAGCATTTGTTCTCTTTAAAAGAAAAGCTTTAGACAAATCTGGTGAATTTATTTGCACAAATAATTCATGAATCAGGCAGTACCCTAAATCAGTAAAAGATCAGAGATTTCCATCCAGCAATGGGGGCAGGCATTTCGTAGGGACAGAAAAAAGTGACATTCAAATAGCCTGATTGATTAAGCTTGATGTTTGCCTTCCATAGACACTTTTTGGCATTTTGCAACCTGCAACTGGCTGGAAGCTTAGCTTCTATGTTTGGTCAAGACTTGGCTTCTTGTTACAAGAATATACTCTCGCCCTTCTCTTCCTCGGCGCTGCCTCCGGAGGTGGCTGCCTTCTCCTTGGCACCATAGCCGCCCTCAGACCCCTGGTGAAGCCCAAGATCGTCAAAAAGAGGACCAAGAAGTTCATCCGCCACCAGTCGGACCGCTATGTCAAGATTAAGCGTAACCGGCAGAAACCCAGAGGTATTGACAGCAGGGTGCGGAGAAGATTCAAGGGCCAGATCTTGATGCCCAACACTGGCTACGGGAGCAACAAGAAGACCAAGCACATGCTGCCCAGCGGCTTCCGGAAGTTCCTGGTCCACAACGTCGTCAAGGAGCTGGAGGAGGTGCTGCTGATGTGCAACAAATCCTGCTGTGCAGAGATTGCTCACAACGTCTCCTCCAAGAACCACAAAGCCATTGTGGAGAGAGCGGCCCAGCTGGCCATCAGGGTCACCAACCCCAACGCCAGGCTGCGCAGTGAAGAAAATGAGTAGGCGGCTCGGGTGCGCATTTTATTTGTGTTTAAATAAAACCTTGAAAACCGGTCTCTTCAAAAAAAAAAAAAAAAAACAAAAAAAACCCAAAAAAACAAAAAAAAAAAAACAAGAATATACTCTCAAGTTTGCTTGCCGTTTGTTGACATATTAAATTGGGTTACAGTATGCTATGGTACAGAGGCAGCTCAGGGCTAAGTTAAATTTACATTTGTAGCCTGTAAATACAAATGTAGAAGTCAACAATGGATTACAGTCGCAAACAAACCCTCCTGCCTTGTATGGGCAAGAGTGATATTAGAGAAAATTTGGTGGATTGCTTCTAAATATTTGTTGGAATCAATGAATGCCATTGATGATTATTTTTCCAGCTGTGGGTGGAGTTTATTGGAGCCACTCATACTAACGGTTGATACTGAGATCAACGGGACATATTTGGGTGGGATTGAGGAGGGCAGTGACTCTCAGTGTGGGTTAGAACCATCTCCCTACCAGGATGTCTAACTAAATCATCCAGGGATTTCTTGTTACGCCACTGTTGGTTAAAACTTGTGGTAGGGAGAAATAATGTAATTTTTTTGGGAATCATCAAGTTCTTGTTAGTATAGACTTTCAAGACAGACAGCCCTGACATCCACGCTTTTTTTCTAAAAAGAACCCCATGTTTCTGTTTTTCCTGTTGTCAGGCTGTGTCCCTAGTTTTGGAGATAAAGCACATGATCCAATCGTAGCACAACCACACGTGGTTTCCCCTGGGCCATGGCAGGTGTTTCAGTAGTGGGCACATAGACCAAGGTGGTGACAGCAGAGTAAAACCAGGTCTCCTGAGTTATGCTACCAGGAAAGGTTCTTGCTTTTTTTTCTGCTAAATTTGAACCTGGAAGGATGTGAAGCCAGAGCTGCTGCAGCCATTTTGCCCCCATGAGAAGCTCCCCTAGAATTGCCAGAATCCAACCCAGGAGCTTAAGAATGAAGACAACCAGTTGAAGTCAGACCTGAGAAGTGGGCATCTAAGACCAGTCCTGATGGTACTGCTGGAGCCCTGAGTTCAGCAATACCTGAAGCCATATTGATATATATATATTTAAGATTTTTTTTTTACTTATTTGAAAGACAGAGTTACACAGAGAGAGGAAGAGACAGAGATCTTCCATATGCTGGTTCACTCCCCACATGGTCACAATGGCTGGGGCTGTGCCAGGCTGAAGCTAGGACCCTGGAGCTTCAGGGACCCAAGTATTTGGTCATTTTTTGCTGCTTTCCCTGGTGCATTTGCAGGGAGCCGCATCAGAAGTGGAGCACTGGGACTTGAACCGGCAGCCATATGGGATGCCGATGTTGCAGGAGGCAGGTTAATCTGCTATGCTACAATGCCAGTCCCCGGATTAACTTTTGATTGAGTACATGATCATCTTTTGCTTTAGGTGTTTGAAGTTGAAAGAGTCATATTTACTAGGCTGAGAGTAGGGCACACTAACTGGCATCTAAGTTGCTTCCCCTGGAGTCTCTAGGTCCCAGATCCTAAGAGGCTGCTCTCATGGCCTCCTGAATGGATTTGTTTCTGGGGTGACTGCAAATGCACCTGCTAGCCTGGATAATGAGGAAATAACATGTAGCTTGAGACAGGTAAGTAGGATGGATTCTGACACTTGGGGGAAATGCATGTTAACAAGGGTTCCCAGGGCCGGTGCTGTGGTGTAGAGTGTAAAACTGCTGCCTGCAATGCTGGCATCCCATTTGGGTGCTGGTTTAAATCCCAGCTGCTCCACATCTGACCCAGCTCCCTGCTAAAGTGCCTGGGAAAGCAGCAGAGACCTGGATGAAGTTTTTGGCTCATGGCTTCAGTGTGGCCCAGCCCTGGCCATTGTGATGGCAGTGAAGCAGCAATTGGAAGAACTCTCTCTCTCTATTTTTCTCTCCTCCCTCAATTGCACCTTTCAAATAAATAACAAAAAATACAAGGGTTCTGTTCCTTAAAGAAATCTGTATGTCAATTAAAGTTTTTCAAGAACATATAAAATGTTTATGTAAGTGTCTTACAGAATTGACTCTAGACAAAATCCAGGTGGAACAGCAGTACCTGTGAGGTCTGAAGCCTCAGGATTTGCCAGAATGTCAGTGCTAGAGAAGCGGAACTCAGTCTGTGCTCTGACTCTCTCCCTTCTCTACGCCTGTGCTCTGCAGCTACACAGACTGAAGATGCTGTTTATGTGCTTATCTTGTCGGAGTGCACAGCGTGTGCAGTGTGCATTCTTAATTTTAAAAGTGAGGGTAGGAGTGGAGAGCAGTACAGAAATGCTGCTTTCACATATGTGCTCTGCTGAAAGTTCTGTGTTCCTCAAAATCTCACATTAATATAACATGGTTATGAGAAAATCATGGCTGGAGAACATCATTGAATATCTGTGTAGGGGCTGGCGCTGTGGCATTGTGGGTAAAGCCATTGCCTGCAGAACTGGCAACCCTATGGGATGCAGGTTCGAGTCCCAGCTGCTCCACTTCTGATTCAGCTCTCTACTATGGCCTGGGAAAGCAGTAGAAGATGGCCCAAGTCCTTGGGCCCCTGCACCCATGTGGGAGATCCAGAAGAAGCTCCTGGCTCCTGGCTTTGGATTGGCGCAGCTCTGGCTGTTGTGGCTAATTGGGGAGTGAACCATCGGATGGAAGACCTCTCTCTCTCTCTGTGTAACTTTGACTTTTGAATAAATAAATAAATCTTTAAAGAAAAAAAGAGAAAATCTGTGTAAAGCCGCTATCTGTGATGCCATCATCCCGTATGGGCACCGGTTTGAGTCCCAGCTGCTCCACTTCTGATCCAGCTCTCTGCTAATATGCCTGGAAAGGCAGTAGAAGATGGCCTAAGTGTTTGGGCCCTTGCATCCATGTGGGAGACCCGAAAGAAGCTCAAGGTTCTTGGTTTTGGCCTAGCAGAACCCTGGCTGTTGTGGCCATTTAGGAAGTGAACCAGCGGATAGAAGATCTCTCTCTGTCTCTGTCTCTCTTTGTATCTCTGCCTTTCAAATAAATACAAATAAACCTTCAAAAAAATCTATTTATCTGGGATTTTCATTGTGGTGCAGCAGGTTCAGCCACTGCTTGTTATGCTAGCATCCAACATCAGAGTGCTGCCTACTCTGCTTCCTAACCAGCTCTCTGCTAATGCACCTGGGAAGGCAACAGAAGATGGCCCAAGTACTTGGGCCCCTGCCACTCCCACAGGAGGCCTGAATGGAGTTCCGGGCTCCTGGCTTCAGCCTGGCTCAGACCTGGCTGTTGTGGCCATTTGGGGAGTGGACCAGCAGATGGAGGTTTCTCTCTCTCTCATCCTCTCTCTCTGTTACTTTTTCAAATAAATAAACATTAAATATTATAAAGGAAAAAATCTATGTTTTTTTTTTGACAGGCAGAGTTAGACAGTGAGAGAGAGAGAGAGAGAAGGAAGGTCTTCCTTCCGTTGGTTCACCCCCGAAGTGGTCGCTATGGCCGGTGCGCTGTGCAGATCCAAAACCAGGAACCAGGTGTCCCCTCCTGGTCTCCCATGTGGGTGCAGAGCCCAAGCACTTGGGCCATCCTTCACTGCCCTCCCGGGCCACAGCAGAAAGCTGGACTGGAAGAGGAGCAACCGGGACAGAATCTAGTGCCCAAACTGGGAATAGAACCAGGGATGCCGGTGCTGCAGGAGGAGGATTAGCCCAGTGAGCCATGGCAGCGGTCAAAAAAAAATCTCTGTTACCTTTGAAGAGCATTGACAAGAGCAAAATCACTATCTGAATAAAAATATTACAGTGAAAAAAGACAAGTTAAATTTCTTGTGAATATTGCAACACTATAGTGAAAGCAAGTACTTCTGCTTTTATAAAAGGAGATTTCAGCTTGATGGGTAGTGCCATAAGGATGAGAGGAGTCTACAAGGTTGTGGGGACAAGTGAAAAATGCATCGTGAAAATGCCCTTCCAAGGCAGACTTGAGCCATGAAAAAGAGACTGGGCACCAGGTCTAGTCATAGCACGCCACCTACTGGTAAGAGCTGAAGAGTGCGCTTTTTCTTGGGATAAAGCATCTGATAGCTGTGGGGTGGGGGGGGTGCACCTACACCAGTGCGACTTCCACGCGACACCAGCATCCTTCCCATAATTTTCCACTCCCTTATTAGCTGCTTTGGGTTACAAAGACGTGTGTAGCCTAACAGGGGAATTGAGCATATAGGAAATGGGGGGGGTTCCATTATATATCTATGTGTATGTTTTAAGTTTTCTATGATCAAAAAGGTAAATTAGATCATATTTTTTTTTTAATTGAAGAAAACTTTCTCTAGATCTTTCCTATCATCCAAAACCAACACCTTTCTGGCTTTGCCACTAAAACGATCTGCTTTGATCGTTTTACGTGAAAACAAGACAACACCACGACATTCTCCGGAAGATCAGAGAAACGAAGAGAAGGCAGGGCGTGGTCAGGCCGGGTCAGAAGAGCCCCTCTCTAGAACAACCCGGCGGTCCTCAGCTGGGCTGCGACCCTGCAGAGAAAAGTCTCCCTGTTTTGGACATTTCGGCTGTTGCGATCCACTGCTGGACAGAGTTCTCGGACTGCCCCAGCCTGGGAGACATCCCCGGGAAAAGTCACACGAGAGAGCCTGGGCTGCACTACCGCGTTTTCTCCTCCGTGTGTGAGAACAGTAAGCAAATGAGGACAGAAGAAAACTATATGGGCTGATAGGAAAACAGAGCACGCAGAAGCAGGAGTTGAGAAAAGCCACACGGCGCATTCAATGAGATTGAGACTATTCAAGGGGTCTTCACAAAGTTCATGGAAAGTGAGTACTGCAAAAACCAAACCAAACCAAACCAAACCGAACTCATGCATGAATTTCAAAAACTTCTTGCACCAGAATAAACTTACCTTTAATTCCATTTTCCACAACCTTTTAAAAGTTAATTAATTAATTAGAAAAGCAGAAAGAGGAAGAGAGAGAGAGAGAGAGAGAGAGAGAGAGAGAGAGAGAGTCTTCTATCTGCTGGTTCACTTCCCAAATGGCTGCAATGGCTGGAGCT